GCCATCATCATCAAAACTATAGTAATTGTCCATAGCCATGTTGGAATACAGCATTGTCAGCTTTACACTGAGGTTTTAATTGGTCCATCAATATTAAGAGATGTGTAACATGGGTTAAGGAACTTTCCAATATTCTTGTTTGTGAATGTTCAATGGTGATATCAGAGCACTTTTTCAATTGATATAAATAGTATATATAACCTAGGTCCTCTGGAAAACGACCAGAAAGGATGAAATAAACACATTAATATAATATTAAAAATAAAGAAGGCATCTCCTGACCACGAGCACATGTGCTTTTTAGATGGCAGAGCGCCATCTAGTGGAGAAAAAATAAACTAAACGTTTATTTAGCTTGCTCCGAGATATTTCTCCAGATATCTTCAGCCTTCTCCACGCTGACGAGCGCCAACAGCGCGAAACGCGTTCGTGGATGGCTTTTCTTGATTTATCAAGAAATTGGGTTGGCCAAATATCTCGGAGCAAGCTAAATAAACGTTTAGTTTATTTTTGCTCCACTAGATGGCGCTCTGCCATCTAAAAAGCACATGTGCTCGTGGTCAGGAGATGCCTTCTTTATTTTTAATATCAACACCTGACCCACTTATCTTTTATTTTTTCTATTGTTTTTTCATTAATATGATATATATTGATTCAGCTCCCGGAGAATAGTCTAAAAGCTTTAATTCAATACTGTGATGTAACATATATGTTCACATTGAGGTCTCAGAGGTTGCTGCCACTAAGGCTTAAAAAAACACTGTGATCCAATTTCAATATGTTGATGGTTCTCAGGAACTCGTGAAATTTCAAAGTTAATTCGCAACTGATATACTTCTAAATATTTTCTTTTTTTTTTCTCAAATTAAATGATGGTAATTAGTGTATTTAAATTTTATCAAATGTTTTATATAAATGGCGGACTTCTCGAGCATTCCTGAAATCGAATTAATGCCTATTCTCTAAACTTAATCCCAGTGGCCAAGTGTGGGGCCTCAGCATCTCTGATGGATCTCTGTTCCACATGAACCAATGGATCTCTGCCTTCCTACAGAATCCTCGGACCTCCTCCAACCTCCTTTACAATTATTCCGAGAGCATCCCTACAGAGCTGCTCCTGGTTAGAGAAGTCAGCTCAGGCTACCACACTCTACCTTGGATATACTCTCTATGACATCATCTCTTGTCTCCAGACAAAGGTCAATTCACTCGACATGCATGAAGTAGTTCTTCTCCTCCTCACCTGTCTTCTGAAGATCTGCAACCTCTCCGTGAGGAAGAAGTTCAAGACCTTGGTGGAACAAGCAACTCACCACATTCTCTGTGACATTGAATTGGATCTTCAACCTTGTTATTGTTTACATTGGATGGCTAGAAAGTCCTGGATAAACATTTTGGAGCGTACATATGTCATCAACTAACTGGTTTCTATTTACTGTATTCTTTTCACGAAATATTTACTCACAAATATTGCGTCTAATCTTGTACCTAATTTCATTATTTTATAAAATCATTTGTGAATTTTTTGTACATTTGTGTGAATGTAACTAAATATTAGTAATAATAATTTTTAAACAATGTGTCATCAAATTTGAGCAAAGATTTTCTTAATTACATATTTTAATTTTATTTCAATATATTTTATTTTTCGCTATAGAGCGTACTATTATTTTATTTTGCACATAATACATATAGTTGATCTTGAAGATAGAGGTTGCCTGACTGAAATTTATTGTTCGTGAAATAAGAAACACTTTTCAGCCAGTTTAGAGTTTTTATTTTACATTGTATTTACATGTATTTAATTTTTAAAATGTTCTTTTGTTTTCGCCAGGAAAAAAAAACTTTATAGAAAGGCGTTAAAAATATGATTGAGGTATTAGGGCGTTCTAACGCATATAATTTATACCAAAGTCTTCAACTACTTCTTACTTATGACTCGTGTTTTCTCTATGCTGTGTTAAATATGAAAGGCCGCGTGAGAACGCCCTAGTACCTCAAAAATATTTTTAACGACTTTCTATAAAGTTTTTTTTTTTTTTGGAACGTCGAAATAATAAAAGCTCTACTGGCCAAAGTGTTTCTTATATTTTAAGAACATACATAAATAAATTAACAACAACAACAAAAATGTAATGCCTCGAGTATTAGAATCTGGTTACACTGAATAAAAATATTTTGTTTATCAAATTTGGCCGCCTATAAGTCGTAATTACTTATTAGAATATATTTCAAGATGTCTAAATCCGATTCTTTATATAATTATACTGTAACCAATATTGATGGTGAAAAGATTGATTTGAAGAAATATGAAGGTTACGTTTGTCTGATTGTTAATGTTGCATCACAATGTGGGTATACTGATTCTAATTACCCTGCTCTCGAAGAACTCCAACAAAAATATAAAGATCAAAAGTTTGCTGTTCTTGCTTTCCCATGTAACCAATTTGGAGGTCAAGAGCCTGCTTGCGAAAGAGATATAAAAAATTTTGCAAATAAATTTAGTATTTCGTTTGATATGTTTTCAAAAGTAAAGGTAAACGGTGACGATGCCGATCCACTTTATAAATATTTGAAAAGTGAGAAAGGCGGTCTTTTTGGAAGCTTTATTAAATGGAATTTTACCAAGTTTCTTGTGAACCGTGAAGGTGTCCCTGTTGGAAGATATGCGCCTACAGAAAGCTTCACTAAAATTGAAGAGGACATCAAGAAAGCACTTTAAATTCTTTTGATCGAAATTTATCAATAAATGAAAAAGTATTAAGCAATATGTATGCTTCAATAGTATTATTCGTCTGTAATAATTTAAAAATAATTTCTTCATTAAAATAAAGCCAATTTTGATTCAAATATTTAAATGCAGAAGATAAAATACATTGTATGTATTTATAAACCTTTTGTGTTATTAATGTTAGAATGTGCGTCAGTCTTTCTAGAAAATAAATATACTCCATAATTTATATTTAATTTAAAGCCTATCATTTATTTAGATATAAATTTATTATTTTTTTTTTTTCTAGTACACCTCTATATAATGGTTAAATTTTAACAATGATATTTCAACAATTAAAAAATCAATGTTATTCTCTCTTTTAAATAATTTTTATAATATGTTGGGTATGTGTTGCTATTTGTTTTTAAAATATTTAATAATTTTGACTATATACCTGTGTTCAAATAGTGTTCAATGTGTAAAAAATGTTGATGGTTAATAAATTGAAAGCTTATTTTTTTCAGTCTCTCTCTCATTTTTTTGGTTTTCTGATTTAATCTATATCTATATAAAATTGAATGTCTGTCTGTATGTTTGTACTCTATAGATTCAAAAACCATACATCCAATCGCCGTGAAATTTTGGGATATCATTAGGTATATCCCCGGGAAGGTTTTTAAAAATAATTTCTTGAATATCCTTAGAGTTATTTGCAGATTTGTAGATTTAACTCGCAAGCAGCGCCCCCATTGCGACGATGATAGCAAGTTTTTTTAGCAATAAGTTTTATTATCACTAAGTTTATTATCTTAAAGATTTATCAAAAGTAAGATTTTCTACCTATTAATTGCACATTGCACAAGTCAAAGTTAGTTTTATCATTTATCTACAACATATATATTGGGAGAATAGATAAAATGATGATTTTGTAATGTAGAAAATTAGGAAAGACAAAATTCAGGATGACACGGCAATTTATTTGAGACAAGAATAATGATACAATTCCAAGGCAAGATACTATTCCTTTAACTTCCAATTACCAAGGGAACCAATTAATATTGATTTTATTCAACTTATCGAGTATTTTCAAGGGACCGGGAAAAAATGTTCACTTTATTGAGAGATTCAAATTATCAAAATATATCAATTATTTTTTTTTATAAGTTTATAGAGAATTGTTTTAACAAATGTTCGTTAGACAAACCTTTACTCGGGTAAAACCCGGGCGAAGCCAGGTACATCCGCTAGTTACCCTATAAATTACTTGTCACAAATCTATCCAGTAAGATTTCTAAAATCACAGTACATATAAAAATTGTTAGAAACAGCATAATTTTGCTTAGTTTTTTTTAAAAATAATTTAGATTATAGATTAGGGGGAACATAAGATAATAAAACCAAATTCATATTCATGAATTCCCATGATAAGAAATTTACAATATTTTTGATGTACAGTAGAACCTCCCTGTAAAGGACAACACCTAATTACAGAGCCAAAGTGTTCTTTAGAGAGAGATGTCCTCTTACTGGTGAGTTGCTAAATAGTAAAAATGGTAATTTTGGAGAAGAACTGTATTCTACAATGGATTCCTGCCCATGTTGGGATCGGGGGTAATGAAATGGCAGTTGAATTGGCAAAGGAAGCCAGAAAGTTTAGCATAAGGAAAGAACAAATGTCAGTATTTGACGCTGATGCTTTGGCAAAATACAAGATATTTAAACAAAAAATAAGAAAAGATCAAATATGCGAAATAAACTCTGAGAGAAAACTGACAAAAACTATAACAAGACTTAGAACAAAACACTATAAAGGAATGACAATACATCCAGATGGCACAATAACCTATAGGACATGTAACAACTGTCCTGGTGTGGAACTAACACCTACTCACATATTCTCATACCCAGCAATGGCCGCAGCCTTGCAGAAAATTTACTTAGACCCAGAACTTTACACACCCAAGATAGTGGACATTGCTGTGATAGAGATGCATGGAGACATCTGAGACTTTTCATTGGACATGACAACAACAACAACAATGGTAATTTTGCAAATGTGAAAACTGTTCTTTGTAGAGAGATGTCTTCTAATGCAAGTGTCCTCTCATGGAGGTTGTTCTACTTTATATGCTTTTTTTAAATAAAATATTTTTTTAACTGCTCTTATTGCAATAATACATTGATGGGAGAGGCCTGTAGGGACAGTAGAAAATTACTTTATTTTTTAAAAAGAATCGTAGGCATAAAAAAATAGTTATAATTTCTTATAATAGATAACACACTAATACATCATGATAGCTTAGTTGGCTGAACGGTGAACTGTAGATAATATAGTAATCCATAGGTTGTTGGTTCAAATCCAGCTTGTGTGGGGGTTTTTACAAACATTTCATTAATTTGGTCTTATTTTACCTTATACACAGTGTGGCAAATAATTTTTAAGACTCGCGCTAGATAAAAGCCAATAGCAGAGCCAGTTATGAAATTGCGCATGCGTATATATATTCGAAGCCTTATCTAGCGCGTGGCTTTGTTTCAGCCATTTTGGTTAACTCTTTAAAACCATACAGGCGATTTTTGAAAAGTAAAAATTTTTGTTCGTCGGAATTCTGAGATGGAACAGAGAGCGGTCATTAAATTTAATGCAAAACTTGGTAGAAGTGCATCGGAAACATATTTTGATGAAGCAAGTTTATGGTACGTTATGTTTGAGTAAATCAAATGTTTTCATTTGGCACAAACGTTTTTCGGATGGAAGAAATACGCTAGAAGATGATAAACATACTGGACGACCAAGTTATTCAAAGACACCAGAAAGTATAGAAAAAGTGCGAGAATTTGTTGCAAACAATCGCAGTGCATCCCTGAGAATGATGGCAGAGGTTTTACACATCAACAAAGAAAAGATTCGAACCATTCTGCATGAAGATTTGGGTAAAACTAAAGTCTGTGCTAAATTTGTTCCACACACTTTAACGGGCGGGCAGAAATCATTGAGAATTGCACATTGCAGGGACATCATTTCTGCCTATTAAAATGATTCAAACTTCCTGAAATCAATTGTTACGGGTGATGAAACATGGTGTTTTCAGTATGACCCAAAGACAAAGCACAAAAGTGCCGAATGGAAGTCAAAAAACACTCCACACCCAAAAAAAACGTGAAAAGTGCCATCAAAAATCAAAACAATGTTGATTACCTTTTTCGATAGTAGAGGTATTATCCACAAAGAATTTGTTCCCGCTGGACAAACCATTACTGGAGAGTATTATTTAAACGTTTTGAAACGTTTGATTGCCAGAATTCGTCCAGAATATCGCAATGAAGACAGTTGGTGTTTGCTGCATGATAATGCACCGAGTCACTCCTCACTCATTGTTCGTCGCTTTTTGGCCAAAAATAACGTCTGTGTGTTGAATCATCCTCCGTACTCGCCTGATTTAGCACCATGTGACTTTTATTTATTCCCAAAAATAAAATTGAAGTTAAAAGGTTGTTTTTTTTTTTATGATATCCCGACCACTGCGACGAGCACTTTGGAGGCGATTCCTCAAAGTGGCCTGCAAGAGGCATTTAATTCCTTATTAAATCATTGTAACATATGTATTGAATCCGGAGGGGATTATTTTGAATAAAAAAATAGTAGAAATTGAATTAGCTTGTTTCTATTTTATTTTACAAACCCATTCTTAAAAATTATTTGCCACACTGTATAGATTTGATCACACATATCATAGCCTGTCAAAAAATAATTTAAAAGGTCAGGTTTTGGTACAGTAGAACCTCCCTTTAGTGGACACCTCTCTACAAAGGACAGTTTTCATTTGCAAAATTACCATTTTTACTATTTTAGCAAATTTCTGGTAAGAGGACACCTCTCCCTAATGGACACTTTGACTCTTCAATTAGGTGTCCTTTACAGAGAGGTAGTTCTACTGTAATACTATGAAAAAAGAGCACATACTTGTGGTCAAGATATACCTTTTTTTTTTAATTTTAATATCATAGACAGTATTTGTCCTAAACCAGGTTGGCTGTAATCTTTTCCAGGACAAGTCTTTTGATGGTATTGTAAGGTTTACTCCATCTATTTTGAAGTCTCTAACTTCCCTCTAGTAATACAGTTTTTAAAATAAATTTTAATAATCACACACATATACACAAAAACTTTCATTAAGACACATTGGTCTTATAGAAGATACTTCTAGGAGATTACAAGACAGAGAAACTGTGTTGGTATACATAGATCAAGAAGTTAATATATACATGATATATATTAAAATAAAAAAAGGCATATCCTGACCACGTTCACATGAACTTTATTTTTTCACATTATACAGTTAAACCTGTCTATAGCGCCCCCTCTTGGGACTCACCAAAATAGGGTGCTATAGACAGGTCGCTTTTAATGTAAAATGTTTACATTTTAATATTTAAAATCGAGCGTTATAGAGAGGAAGGTGCTATTTAGAGGAGGCGCTATAGACAGGTTTAACTGTATATATACAGGATTATATATTTATAATTATATGTAATTCTACTGTCCTCAAAGCTTATGTCCATAGTTCATCTAAAATACCCATTCGAAGAGTCAAGCATCAGTATCACTATAAAAGGAAGTTCCAAAAATGCAATATAACAGCGGTATGGTAGATTAAACTGGCGAAACCGCTGGGAGGGTTCACCACTAATGAGCCAGGCCCTCTCATTAATTTTTCCATTGCAGTAAGGGCAGTAGAAATTGTTTTATTTTTAAAAAGAAACATACGCGTCTAAAATAGTTTCATTGCATTTTTGGAACTTCCTTTTATAGTGATACTGATGCTAGACTCTTGGAATGGGTATTTTAGAAGAACTATGGACATAAGCTTTGAGGACAGCAGAATTACATATAATTATAAATATTGATAAAGATGATATATCGTTATTTCCTTTGTCTCACTGCTTTGTTCTTATGCATACCTCTGGTAATTCCTGTATAGGGTCAGTGACCCTGAATAAAGGCTTTTTGTTGTTGTTGTTGATAAAGATGGTGCGCTAATGCATCATAATATACAGGATTGTTAGCAGTGCAGATTATGGACAGTAGTAGCTTCTTTTCATCACCAACTTGCAAACCTTAGTTTTGATGCTGTTTAGTATTATTGGAAGTATTTAAGGACAAATGTTCTGTTAGACAGGATAGTAGAGAACATTTTATAAGACTGAAGTTCTGGATTGTAAACACAAAGTAATAAGACCAAATCCAAATAAATAAATAGTGTGTGACGTTTCGGTAACAGCGTTGTTACCATCTTCAGACAAAAGTATTGAATGAGAAATTTTACCACAGCATGTTTTTAAGGTAAAATATCTCATTCAGTACTTTTGTCTGAAGATGGTAACAACGCTGTTACCGAAACGTCACACACTATTTATTTATTTGGTCTTATTACTTTGTGTTTATAATCTATTATCCAAATTGTGCCTTATCAAGTTCTGGATTGGTATGTTTGGAAAACTGCAAGACATTTTTTTCTTAATAGGCCATGATAATCATGGTTGGTTGAACAGTAAAACCTCTCTTTAGCAGACACCTCTCCACAAAGGACAATTTTCATTTGCAAAATTACCATTTTTATAATTTAGCAACTCTCCAATAAGAGGACACCTATCGCTAAAGGACACTTTGGCTCTGTAATTAGGTGTTGTCCTTTACAGGGAGGTTCCACTGTTTTTGGCATCTGCTTTTACTCTAAGTGCACCACATGTCTACACACGTGAAAAGCAGTTCAAATTTTGCACTTACAAATGTGCCAAAAAATCTTGTTTGGTTATTTGCACTCACTTATTGGCTTGGACTTTTGCAAGAATCGGGGGCCATTTATACAATTTTTATTTAAGAAAAAAAGTGCCCAATGCGGGGTTTGATCCTGTCTGTCAGAAATAAACAGTTTAAACCAGTCATCCACCGACCCCCCAATCTTCTTCTTCTTTCTTATCTCCACTCAATCACACTAAGGTATCAAGCTTGTAAAGCTTGAGATTTTTGATGGTGTCTGCCAGGGAAGAGTAGAGCTCATCAATGGATGAGTGAATACAGTCAATAATATGTCTTGGGGTTGCAGGCTGAGAATTGCACTTAGTACATAGTGGGAAAACCCTGCAACCATTCTGGAAAGTCATTGTCCGTAGATGTGAACAGACTTAAGTCTGGAAGTCAAAATCGACCCCCCAATAATACAGCTAACCCAATGAGTGTCAAACTCAGCCATCTTCAGTATCTCTTCTTAATCTCACTCTTTCTTTCTTAGTCTGTCAACCCATGGACAACATGTATATCGGGATACAGACAATAACTATGAAAGATCTACAAGGTAATAAGATCAAATCCAAATAAATTAGTCTTTCGTCTGATGATGGCGACAATGATGTTACCGAAATGATAAGGCACAATTTGATTATAGATTATAAACACAAGGTAATAAGACCAAATCCAAATAAATAAATAGTGTATGCATTGTTACCGAAACATTTCACACTATTTGGATTAGATCTTATTACCTTGTAGTTCTAATCTATATATCCCAAATTATCATCTAATATATTTTCTAATAAATAATATAGATTCTATATGAAACACCTAATTCAGTTGTATTGTCACAATTTTTGTAATTACCTTTCCGTAACAGCATTGACAAGTGTTTGTACTCCATGTTAGGAGTGACTGTACATGGCATCTGTTCCTCATGTCAGAGGTGGCCATTTCTATATTGGAGATAAGTCGGTGGCTTGTTACTGAGTAGTGCTCCCAGTCTTAATGACACAAAGGTATTCCACTTCACCCAGTCATGATGGTTACCATGTTCTACAAGCTTGATATCATAATATGATTGAGTGGAGATAAAGCAGAAGAGAGGTTATGAAATCGGTTGAATTTATCAAAAAGATGATAAAGCACAATTTGGATTCATTTGTCTGATGATGGTGACAATGTTGTTGCCGAAACGTCACACACTATTAAATTATTTGGATTAGGTCTTATTTTATTATCAAAAAGATGTTTAAACTGGTGAAGGGGCTGATTTTCTCAGGCAAGAATACAATAAATTCTATGACAAGGTAAGTCTATAACCAGGACAGATAGAACCTCAAAAGTGTTAACTTGAAGAAAAAAAATTCAAACCAATGGCAAATGGGGCTCCTCCTAAACCTAATCTGCAATACCAAAAGAAATAACATTGATCCCAAACCTACACTCACGGACAAAACTTAAGGAAGTGGTAAGTCTTTGATGTCGCCAGTTGTCTATTTTTTTAAGGAGACAAAGGCAATTTAGTTCACACTTGGTTATCCCATGTGTCTTTAATAAAGGTCACTATAATATCTTTCA